CTTTGGAGAGGGACATCATGCTGGGTAGAGTGGAGGGACGGCGCAGGAGGGGAAGACCCTCTATGAGGTGGATTGATTCAGTGACTGGGGTACTCGGGATGGGTTTGTCAGAGGCAATGAGATTGGCACAGGATAGAGCACGGTTTAGGGCTATTGTACATAGGGTCGCTATGAGTCACAAGCGACTCGATGGCACATAACAACAACAACAGTGTATATAAAGGACAAAAGAGTCATAACTGAGAACAAATAGTCTTTTCTAGATGTTAAAGAAGTTGCTAGTGTATGACTGAAGTTGTTATCTGCCATCCAGCGGCCTGCAACTCATAGCGACCCTATGTACAACAGCCCTAAACCCTGCCCTATCCTGTGCCAATCTCACTGTCTCTGACACACCTACCCCCATTACCCCACTCACTGAATCAATCCATCTCATTAAAAAGGGTCTTCCTCTCCTGCACTGTCCTTCCACCCTCCCAAGCATGACGTCTCTCTCCAGGGACTGGTTCCTCCTTACAATATGTCCAAAGTATGTCAGACGAAGCTTCAGAATCCTTGCCTCTAAGGAGCAGCCTGGCTTCACCCTCTCCAAGACAACCTGTTCATTTTCTTAGCAGTTCATGGTATATTCAGTACTCTTCTCCAGCACCACAGCTCAAAGACATCAATTCTCCTTCTATCATCTCTAGTCATTGTCCAGCTCTCTGATGCATAGCAAGTGATTGCAAAGACCATGGCATGTATCAGGTTCACCTTAGTCTCCAGACTGACATCGTTGCTCTTCAGCACTTAGAGAGGTAGCATTTAAAATTTTGTACATTTTGAAATTCTTAGAAAAAGATTGTTTTTCGAAAATTTGAACATTAGAGCCCATGGGATTAGGGGAGGGTAAAAAGGGAAAAGACAAGGTGATAGACCAGAATGTCATTTTGAAGACACTTTCAGATGATGACTCTTGTTATATGTGCACTGCTTATGATAACTGTGAATAATAACATTATGTATATCATGGACAAACAAGTCCTTATTTGAAACATCTAGTCTATCTAGATGTTTAGAAGTGTCTGACGTATGTTAAAAGTTGTTATGTGCCGTCGAGTCGCCTGTGACTCATAGCAGTACAACAGCCCTAAACCCTGCTCTATCCTATGCCAATCTTATCATCTCTGATGCACCTACCCTCATTATCCCAGTCACTGAATCAATCCATCTCATCCAGGGTCTTCCTCTCTTGCACTGTCCCTCCACCCTCCCAAGCCTTGAGTTAACAATACTTAAGGATGCTTTGAGCAGAATATTAAATTATCCAGGAAGTATTAAAAGAAGATGGAAAAAGTATACAGAATCATTATACCAAAAGGAATTGGCTGACACAGAAGAATTTAATGAAACAATGTATGAGCAAAAGCCTGTGGTGATGAAGGAGGAATTTCAAGCTGCTCTGAAAGAATTGGTAAAACGCAAGGCCCCAGGAATTGACAGTATACTAATTGATATATTTCAGCAAACAGATGCTGCCCTAGATGTGCTCATCAAATTGTGCCAAGAAATCTGGAGGACAACCACCTGGCCAACTGACTGGAAGAGATCTATATTTGTTCTGATACATAGCAAGTGATTGCAAAGACCATGGTCTGTATCAGGCAC